TGCGCACGGGCCCGGGGGGCACGCGGGAGAAGAGCGGGAGACACCGTGAGGAGAGGGAGAGACCCCACGGCAGAGTGATACAGACGGGGAGAAGGATATAGAAAGAAATACACAGAGATGAGATACAAGGAGGGAGAGATATGGGAAGAGAAGCGGGGACAGGACAGGGAGAGACAGAAATGGATAGAGGGAGAGACAGAGATAGAGATGCAGCGAGAGACACAGAGATACAGGGAAGGAGGTTGAAGGGAGAGATGGGGAAGACACCAGACACAGAAGGTGAGATACAGAGGTAGGAAGACACCGAGATGAGAAGTGGATTATGGGGGAGGAACAGAAACATGGGTAGTGTGACGGTGGGTGATGGAGATGGGCAGATACACAGGTAGGCAGGGAGAAATAGCACAGGAATGGGGGCAACAGCGAGACGGAAGGGAAAGAGACTCACAGAGATAGGATCAGAATAGGAGCAGGGAGAGACCCAGGGAGATGGGAGAAGAGATGATCAGGGAGAGGGAGAGACAGGAATAAGAAAAGAAATGGGAAGAGAAACACAGGTAGCGAGAGAGGCTCAGGGAGTGACAGAGACAGGAAGACAGAGTGACAGAAATGGGAGAGATGGAGAGACAGATGAGGGAGAGAATGACGGAGAGATGGAGAGATAAAGGCAGGAGGGTGGGAGAGATAAGAGAGACCAGAAAGTTGGAGAGAGACAGGAAGATGAGAAGAAGCCCAGGAAGACAGAGACCCCACGGCCACCATGAGACATACAAGATACGGGAAGCAGGCCGAGTCAGAGATCGAGGGAGGCCGTCAGAGAGAGCCGAGAGCAAACACAGGAAGAGGAAGACAGAAATAGCGAGGCGAGGCAAAGATCGAGACCCCCACCAGGGAGGTGCCCGGCACAGACATGAAAGGAGGCCGGGATGGCAAGTGGCAGGCAGGAGGGAGCAGAAATAAAAGGAAGAAAAAGTGGGGGAAAAAATGAGAAAGGGGGGAAAAAAAAAGGAGTCAGGTGTAGGGGGAGAGAGAAAGAGAAGAAGAAATTAGTGGGACATCCCAAGGAGAGAAAGTGCCCCCATGACCTTACCCCTCAACCCCTCACCACACCCGGTGTCCCACTTTTCTCCCCTTACTCCTGTCCCTGCCACCCCCCCCCCATTGTCAATGAAAGCCAGAGAAGGAGCTGAGGCTCAGGCTGAGCTGTGGGGTTGGGGGCCACAGCTGTGGAGAACTGGGGCGGGGGTGTCCTGGCTCCCAGCCCAGAGCAATTTAGTAAATTAGAGGACATACAGTGCCTCATCCTTTCTGCCCCCCCCCAAGCCCCCTGTTGAATACTGGCTGCCTGGGGTAGGAAGGCTGAAAGCCCAAGCTCCTGGATCTGAGGGAAGAGGGACTGGGGACCTGGACTCCCAGGTCTGACGGAGGAGGGCGCTGGGGGTCTGGACTCTTGATTCCCACAGAGGGACTGGAGCCGGCACTAGGGGCTCCCTGAGAGGGGTGAGGGTCCAGACAGGGCAGGGTTCTCCCCGCCTGTCAATCAGTCTCCTATCCGGTTGCCATGGAAGCACAGGCCTGGTCCACTGACAGCCAGCCAGGGTAGGGGAAAGGCCCACACCCCCTTCCCCTCCTACAGGCTTTGTCCCCCCTAGCTGGGCCACTGTCTCCCCAGGGATGGGGGTGGGGGTCTGTAGCAGCCCTTCCTGTCAAATCCTGGCTCCCCTTCGCCCCTCCTCTCCACTGCCCTTCCCCAAGCAGCTGGCTCAATCAGCGCTCAGAATAGCCCCCCTTCCTCCCCAAAATAACCCACAGCTGTGGCCTGGCCCCCGCGGGGTTAACACTCACTCTCCACGCGCCTTTCCTGGTGGCTGCTCACCCTTCAGTCCCTCTTCGGCCCCTGGTAGACCCACCCCTGCGTGGCCTCTGCCCTTGGGGGCCCCAGAGCCCTGCTATCTGTTTCAGCCCAGGAGCTTGGCCCCCAGCCCACCCTTCTTAGGAGGCTAAATGCCCAGAAGAAACTCTCAGTCCTCATTTCCAACCATATAAGAGACCAAGAGTCCACACCCTGTCCTGTGCCCTGTCAGGGACTCAGGAAACCAGGCCCACAACCTCTCCTTCAGACACAAGCCCTGTATTCCAACTTCCCAGAAAGACACAGGAGTCCCAACTCTCATCTCGGGGCCTCTTCCTCCTCCAAGACCCAGGAGTCTCAGCCCTCGGGCCCCTCCTTCTTCAGCATTTAGGAGTCCAGGCCCCCAGCTTCCTCCTCCCTCAGACCCAGGAGCTGGACCCCCTCTTCCCCCAGGACTCAGGAATCTGGGTCCTAGCCCCCTCTTCCCTCAGACCCAGGGATCCTGGACCCTCAGCGCCCTCCTCCCTCAGACCCAGGAGTCCCAGCCCCTGCACCCTCCTCCCTCAGATCCAGGAGTCCCGGCTCCTGGCCCCCTCCTCCCTTAAGGACCTCTCTTGGTCTCAAGTCCTATCAGTCCCAACATCCTGGGCACACCCTCAGCTCCAGCCTCTCTGGGCAGTCTCCCCACTGAGGTCCTGTACACAGCACAGCCTGTCCCCTAGCTGAGGAGGAGGAGGAGGAGGGTGCCAGAGATTCCTGGGGCGTCCCTGTCCCCACCGCTCTCCCATCCACCACGGAAGACACGAGAGGCTACTTTGATCAACAGCCCGCCCCCCCTCGCGTGGTGCTGCAGACGGCATCCTGCACCCCCCCCCCACTGTCCTCTCCCCACCCTAATCCTGGTGCTTGGAAGAGGCTGGAAGGGTATTCCAGAACCTTTGGGAAGGGGAGGTGGTTTGCCGCCAGGAGTGCTGGTGGGGGTGGGGGGGCCTGGATGCCCTCAGGGTCCTTGGCAGGGTATTAATAGCAGACTCACAGCTCTGAGGAGGGAGGGGAGAGTGAGAAGAGAAAGGGAGAGGGATTGGCCGGCGAGGGGGGGACGAGCAGGGGGGACAGAGAGAGAAGGTGAGACAGAGAGATGGGGAGACAGAGAAATGGGGTGTCAGGTATGTGGGGCTTGGGAGAAGGAGCCAAGTGGTGGGGAAATAGGGGAGTTTGGGGGTCTGAGGTGTAGAGACCTAGGAGAAAGGGGCTCAGAGAGGGGGAAAGAGGAGGTGGAGGAGTGTCCCCAAGGGACAAGGCAGCTGGGGGGCAAAGATCCTTGCCCCTTCATTCTCCCCTCCCTACCTCCCGGAGGCTCCTGGCCAACTTTCCCTGTCCTAGATTTTGGGGTCCACATCCCTGCCCACCCCTGCATCCCCCCGGCTGGGCCTTACCTTTTCATGACCCTGTTCTGTTGGGGGGGATGCAGGGGGTCAGGACCAGAACCGAGTTCAGCGACCCGAAGATTCCGCAGGAGGGCTCAGGGCGCCGCTGGGGGGCCAGGCCCTCGGGCGGCGGCGGTGGCGGTGGCGGTGGCAGCGGTGGTGGCAGCGGCAGGGACCTCCTGCCTGTCCCTGGCTCTGTCTCTCCCTCCTCTTCCTTGCTCCTGTCCTGCCTTGTCTGTCCCCCAAGGTTGTGGCCACCCCAGGCTAGGCGAGGACGCGGCTACACATGTTGCGCTGGAAGTGGGGCCCCGGACATTGCGGAGGCTGTCGGGGTGTCCTCTTGCGGCCCCGACCCCGTGGGGATCCCCCCTCCGCCCACCTGGGGTCCCCCCCTGCACCGCCTTCAGCCCCGGCTCCTCCCCTTGTCCATGTGCCCGGTCCCGCCTCTCGCCGGCTCGCTCGCACCCCCCTTTGTGCCCTGAGCCCACCCTCCAGCGTCTATGTCTGTCTGTCTGTCTGTCTGGGTCACCTCTGAGGCCAGCGGCTGGGGTGTGTGTTTGTGTTAGGAGTCTGTCTGGGGCACTGCCGGCCCCTTCCTCGCTTGGTCACCTCCAGCCCCCCCTTCTGCGCCCCCACTTTCAAACCCAGGCAGCAACACACACAGACACACACACGCACAGCTCACTTCCCTGGGATTCCCCCTCGACAACCCTGGAGCCCAGAGGAGGGAGCCACACGCACACACACACACACACACACACACATACACACCCACACCCACACCCACACAGGGGGTCCAATGGGGCCGAGTCGCCACTGCCGTCCGGGGCTGTTCGGACAGACTGGAGGACACAGGCAGCAGGGACGCCCAGACGCCCGGCCGGACGCAGGCGGGAGGCAGAGAGCCCAGGTACACACCACCCATGCGGGCTAGGGGGCCGGCGGGGGGACTGGGGGGCCCGCGACACCCAGGCAGGCGGCTCGGAGTCCGTACAGACAGGCAGACCCCTCCCTCCCTGGCCGCCGCAGCCCTGACACAGACACACCCCCCACCCCCACCCCGCCGCCAAGCCAGCCCAGCCCCAGACACCCGGACACCGAGCCTCACCGGGCAGATGGTAGACGCACGAGAGACCCCTGGGGGCCAGGCGGACCCACCCAGCCCGGCACCCAGACCCGGCGGCTTGGCCGCGGGGGGCTGAGGGCAGGCGGCCGAGCGGCGAGCAGCGGCGGCCGCGGCTCCTCCGGCTTCTCCGAGCGGTAGCGGGAAGGACTCGCACACTCGCTCTGTTCTCGCACACACACTCACTTGGGATGCGATTAACATTCAGTCCCCGTCCGCCCTGCCGGGAGACCCACAGCCCCCCCTCTCAGCATCCCCGGGGACCCCTCCTCCTGCGGGACTGGGGGAGGGGGGCCCCCCACCCCCTCCCAGCGCCTGCCTCCCTCCTTGGACCAGGGAGTGAGGGGCTCCGAATAAAAAGGGAGGAGGAAGGGGGAGGCAGGCAGGAACTTAGAACTAGCATTGAAATGTCAGCTTGAGAAGGGACTCCAGGGCCCAGGGGTGTCTGTCCTCTCCTCCCTCCCCACCTTGAGGCCCGGGAACCAGAAGGCTGGTCCCCCACTTAGTCTCTGCCATTCTAGGACCCAGCCTTTGGTTTCTGTTGCCCCAGAAGGCCAGGCCTGCAAACTAGGTGTCCATCGTGAAGCCAGAATCCAGGCCCCCTGTCCCTTCCTCCCCCTTGGACCCAGAAATGTGGGCCCCCACCTCTCCCAGACCAAAAGTCCAGGTTCCCAGCCCCTTCTCCCTCAGACCCAGGAGTCCTGACCCCCAGCCCCCTCCTCCCTCAGACCCAGGAATTCAAGTACCTAGTGCCCTCCTCCCCCAGGACCCAGAGTCCTGGTCCCCAGCCCCCTCCTCCCCTGGTACCCAGGAATCTCAACCCCCTCCTCCAAGACTGAGTTTCCTTTAGAAAACTCAGGCGTCCTCACCCCCAGCACAAACCACTCTCAGGGATCCAGAATCCAAGACTCATAGATGCCACCCTCAGGTACCCAGTCCACCCAGTCTTCTGAGGAAGTCAATACCTCTGCACCCCTTCTTTTCCTGAGGGACCCTGGCTCCCATCATCCATGGGTGCTAAAACACCCAGAAGGACCAAGTGTCTACCCCTTATAGACAAAGCGGTTCAGACCACAGCCTGGGCCCCCTGAGGGTTCCACCATCCAGCTGGCCAGTTCCAGCCCTTTCTGCTCTAGATGTGGGGCCCAGCACTTCTATAAACCCTCCAAGTATTGGAGTGAAGTCAGACCCTGACACCTGGACCCCTCAGGGTAGAGGCTGGGGTAGTGAGAATGTGTGTGTGTGTGTGTGTGTGTGTGTGTGTGTGTAAGGGGGGAAGAATTCTGGAGCAGACACTGAGCCTGGGCGGTGGGGGCTCCTAGGGTAACTTGGGTCTGAGTTTGCCCTTGAGCGTGCTAGGTGGGACTTCCATTTCCCTCATCCCCAAGATTAGGTGGGCAGGGGTGAAGGCTCACATTTCTGAGAAAGAAGAGAGTTGGGGACTGAACTTGTGGGTATGAGAGGAAGGAGAAGACTGTGGATCTAGGCTCCTGAGGCCAGGATGCTTGAGTCACAGGATGGTTGGGGCTGGGACCCTAGGGGATCCTAGGGATAGAGACGGCTGGGAGCCCAGACTTCTGGGGTCTTAGGGAGGACGGTGCTGGAGGCCTGGACTCCTGGGTCTGAGGTAGAAGGGGGCTGGGGGCCCTGACTCCTGGGTCTGAGGAAGGAGGGAGCTGGGACTCTGACTCCTGGGTCCAAAGGTAGAGGGTCTGGGGGTCCAGGACTCCTGGGTCTGAGGGAGGAGGAGCTGGGGCTGGGACTCCTGGGTCTGAGGGAAGAGGGGGCTGGGAACCTGGATTCCTGGGTCTGAGGGAGGTGGGGGTTGGGACTCCTCAGTCCTGGGGGAGGAGAGGCCTGGGGCCCCAATTTCTTAGCTTGTGGGCAGATTGGAGCTGGAGGCTCCTGAGCGGGACTGAAGCTGGCAGTCCAGCCCTGGGTCCCTGTCACAGGGAGAGGCTGGGCGGCGGGACCGCCCCCATTACAAAGGCACAGACCGCCTGCCGGAGCTGGTGCTGGACTGGGGAGCTTCAGATCCCAGCAATCCCGCGGGTTTCAAGGAGGCAGCCCTGGGGGTCCACTCAGAGCCAATTCTGCAAGCAAAGGGGAGTGCTGTGGCGCAATGGTTAACGGAAAGGTCGGCAGTTCGAACCCACCAGCCGCTCCGCGGGAGAAAGATGAAGCTGTTAGCTTCCCTAAAGATTACACCCTTGGAAACCCTATAGGGCAGTTCTTCCCTTTCCTATAGGGTAACTATGAGTCGGAATCGACTCGACGGCACACAACGACAACAACAGGGGGCGCACGAGAGCCGGACCGCCCCCGGGGGCGGAGCCTCCCAGTCCCGGCTCCTCCCGGCCGCCCGCCTCCCTCTTCCTAGCTCCTGCTCAGCCACCAGCTCTGGACTCGGCTCCCCCTCCCAGGTCCCCCTCCCCCGAGCCGAGCCCGCCGAGGGCCCTTCTCCCGCCCCTAGGCCAGCCACCGGCCAGCACTGCAGCCCCGGGGGGCCGCCCCCCGCCAGCCTGTCTCCCTCTAGCGCAGCCCTGCCCGAGCCCCCCCGACCATGAATCTCTTCCGATTCCTGGGGGACCTCTCCCACCTCCTGGCCATCATCTTGCTACTGCTCAAAATCTGGAAGTCCCGCTCCTGCGCCGGTGAGACACCCCCGCCCCACCGCGGCGAGAGAGGGGGAAGAGTTGGAGGGGGGCGTCCCAGGACTCAGAGAAGGGTTTAGGGGGCAATAGAGGGATAGGCCCCTCCCCCACTGCTACCTGGGGGATCCCCCTTCCAGATCCGGGGTCACCAGGGGGTCAGCTCCCTTCTCAAGAATGGAGGGTGCAGACAATTTAGTGGGGAGTTCTCCAGGCCACCAGTTCCGCCCCCATCGCACCGATCTGGGCAGCCCGGGGGTTCCGGGGTTGGGATCAGGGAGCTGTGGCAGGCTGGGAGGTGACTGAGAATTGGTGACGTGGACGGTGGCGGCCAGGAAGGGAGCGGGAGGGAGGCGGCCGGTTCCAGGGGGCTGAGAGCAGGCGGGGGCCTCTGTGGGACCCACCTGGAGTCTGGACGGTGGGGAGTCCCTGAGGGGGCCCGGGGCGGCCGTGAGGCCTAGCCGGTGCCAGAGCCTCGGGCTGGAGTAGCTGCGGGTCCGGGCCGCCCCCTGGCTGTGGGACGTGGGAAAGGGCCCTTTTCAGGCGGGCGGGCGGGCTGGGGCGGCCTCCGGGGACAGCTGCTCTCCAGGGCCGCCCCAGCCCTGCCCAGGTGCCTGCGCCTTCATTGATTTCGCTAGCAGCCCACCCCTAGCCTCCGCTGGAGCTCTCTCTCTCTCTGGACCCAGGGATTTCCGGGAAGAGCCAGGTCCTGTTTGCTGTGGTGTTCACTGCCCGTTACCTGGACCTCTTCACCAACTATATCTCCCTCTACAACACGTGCATGAAGGTAAGGGCTCTACCCCACCTGGAAGGAGCTGGGGGCTCTGGACTCCTGGGTCCAAGGGAGGAGGGGGCTGGGGACCCAGAATCCTGGGTCTCAGGGGGCCAGGGTAGAGGCCAAGCAAGAGGTTAAAAACCTGTTGCAGCCGAGTCGGTTGCGACTCACAGTGACCCTATAGGACAGAGTGGAACTGCCCCGTAGAGTTTCCAAGGAGCACCTGGTGGATTTGAACTGCTGGCCTTTTGGTTAGCAGCCTTAGCACTTAACCACTAGGCCACCAGGGTTTCTGAGAGGAGGTTAGGGGGGCATTTGCCACTGGTCACAAGTTTGCTAGCCTCCCTGCACACCTGGGTCTGAGGGAGGAGGGGGCTTGGGGCCCAGACTCCTGGGTCCAAGGGAGGAGGGGCTGAGACTCCTTTGTCTGAAGGAGGAGGAGGCTGGGGGCCCTGACTCTCTGGTCTAAGGGAGGAGGGGCTGGGACTTCTGGGTCTGAGGAAGGAGGGGGCTGAGGGCCTGAACTTGTCTGGACTCCTGGGCCCAAGCTTTTTGGGGACAGAGGTCCTGTGCTGTGAGCTGAGGCCTCCTCATCCCCCTGGACAGGTGGTCTACATTGCCTGCTCCTTCACCACAGTCTGGATGATTTACAGCAAGTTCAAAGCCACTTATGATGGGAACCATGACACGTTCCGGGTGGAGTTTCTTGTCATCCCCACGGCCATCCTGGCATTCCTGGTCAACCATGACTTCACCCCTCTAGAGGTAGGCCACCCACCAGGGTCCCCATAGTGGTGGGATGGCTTGGCTGTTGAGAGTGGGCCTTCTTAAAGGCTTCCTTCTGCCCAGTTTGCTCAAACGTCCCGCTTCCAGGGCATCAAAGTTCAGCGCACGGGCTCCGGAATCAGATGATATGAACATAGCCACAGCACTCACTGGGCCAGACACTCCTCAATGCATTTTACCCATATTAACTAATTATTTTTCACAGCAGCCCCATTTTATAGGTGAGGAAATTGAGGCTTTGAGAGTCTAAATGACTTGTCCATGGTCACTGGCCTCATGAGTACCAGGCTGGATACTCAGGAATTGGGAACAAGAGCCTGAGGACCAGGCTGCTTGGATTTGAACCCCAGATCTGCTCCTTTCTATTAGTGTGACCTTGGGCATGTTGCTTGACCTCTCCATGCCTCAGTTTCCCCATTTATAAAGTGGGGATCAGGCCATTGTGAGGATTATGCACATTGTACTTGAACCAGAGAGCGAGGATTTGAAACCTGCCTCTACCACTTAGCAGCTGTGAGAACTTGGGCCAGTCATGTAACTTCTCTGCACCTCAGTTTCCTCATCTGTAAAATGGGTTTAATCAGTTTCTGCATCTTGAGTTCTAATAAGGGGTTGATATCTGTAAAGCACAGTGCCTGGCACATAGTAGGAGGTGCTGTGTCAATGTTTGTTAAATGGCTGAAGTGGCTGTCATGGTTCCTATTCCTTGATATTTTGGTGTAAACTGTACAGACTCCTGCTAGTTAAGTGTCTGGCTGCTAACTGAAAGGTTGGCAGTTCAAGTTTACCCAGAGACACCTCAGAAGAAAGGCCTGGCAATCTGCTTCCGAAAAATCAGCCATTGAGAACCCTCTGGAGCACAGTTCTGCTCTGACCCACATGGGGTTGCCAGGAGTTGGAATCAACTTGACAGCAACTGTTTTTTTTTTCTGTTCTAAATCTGTGAGCTCATGCTTCTTTTGTTGTTGTTGTCATTAGTTGCCATCAAGTTGATTCGGACTCATGGTGACCTCATGCGTTTAGAGTAGAACTGCTCCATAAGGTTTTCAGGGCTGTGACCTTTTGGAAGCAGATCACCATGCCTGTCTTACAAGTCGCCTCTGGGTGAGTTTGAACCGCCAACCTTTTGGCTAGTAATTGCGTGTTTAACTGTTTACACCACACAGGAACTCCATCATCCCTCCTGTTGTTAGGTGCCATCGAGTCAATTCCGAGTCATAGCGACCCTAAAGGACAGAGTAGAACTGCCCCATAGGGTTTCCTCTGCTGCAATCTTTTTTTTAAATTGTAGGTTAAGTGGAAGTTTACATTTCAAGTTAGTCTCCTATAAAAATTTATATATACATTGTTATGTGACCCTAATTGCTCTCCCTATACCGTGAAAGCACACTCCTCCTTTCCACCCCTGATTCCCCACGTCCATTCAACCAGCTCCTGACCCTCTCTGCCTTCCCATCTCACCTCTGGACAGGAGCTGCCCATTTAGTCTCATGTATCTACCTGAGCTAAGAAGTGCACTCTTCACGAGTATCATTTTATGTCCCACAGTCCAGTCCAATCTTTGTCTGAAGAGTTGGCCTCAGAAATTGTTTTTAGTTCTGGGCTGATAGAGAATCCGGGGGCCATGCTTTCCAGGGTTCCTCCAGTCTCAGTCAGACCATTAAGTCTGGTCTTTTTAGTAGAATTTGCGTTCTGCGCCCGCATCTTTCTTCTGCTCCATCAGGGACTCTGTTGTGTTTCCTGTCAGGGCGGTCATTGGTGCTAGCTGTGCTGCAGTCTTAATGAGAGCAGATCACCAGGTTTTTTCTCCTGTGGAGTGGCTGGTGGGTTGGAACCACCGACCTTTCGGTTAGCAGCCAAGTGCTTGACCATTGAGCTACCAGGCTCCTTTCACACCTCCTAGGGCCTGGTGAAAACCAAAACCAAACCCATTGCAGTCAAGTCAATTCTGACTTGTAATGACCCCATGTGTTGCTGAATAGAACTGTTCTATAGAGTTTTCTTGTCCATAATCTTTATGGAAGAAGATCGCCAGGGCTTTCTTCCATGGCACCACTGGGCGAGTTTGAACTGCCAACCTTTAGGTGAGTAGCTGAGAGCAAACTGTTTGCGCCATGCAGCAGGAATCATAAATGTGAGGCAGCCTTTTCTCCCCCAAGGAGCCCTTGTGGCACAGTGGTTAAGTGCTCAGCTGCTAACCATGAGGTCGGTGGTTCTCCTCACCGGAAAATGTTGGCCACCAATTCAAAATATATTTCTAAAAGCACTGTGCAGGCCAGACAAATCCTGAAGGAGGATGGTTTTGGCCCATGGGTCCCTACTGTTGAATGTCCGAGGGAGGTGCACCAGGCCTGGGCAGGAACCTTGGGCCTGGCTCTGTCACTTTGGAATTTGCAAACGTGATCATCGTCAGCTCTCTGCACTGACTGAGCACCTACCAGGTCTGATGTCAAGCCCATGATTTATTCAAAACTGGCCTGCTGAGCAGGACAGCTACTGGAGGGTACTGGGCCCAATTTGCAGATGAGGAGACTGAGGCTTGGGGAGGCAATGGGGCTTGCTCAGGGTGGAGGGAGGCTGGACAAAACTCAAGCCTCTTGACTCTCAGCTTTTCCCAGTTCTGTGCTTCAGAGAGGGGGAAGTTACTTGTGCAAAGTATGGGCACCAACTGTGTGCCCGGCCCCATGCTGACCATTCTGAATGCATCTTTATCTTGTCTGATACTTCATGCTCTGGCAAGCAGGCCTCCTATCCTCTTCTGTGGTGAGGCTCTGAGGGGATTGCTCCTGGGATTTGAACCCAGGCCCACCCAGTTCCAAAACCCATTGCAATCGAGTCGATTCCAACTCATAGCGACCCTGTAGGACAGAGTTGAACTGCCCCATAGGGTTTCCAAGATTGTAATCTTTACAGAAGCAGACTGCCGCATCTTTCTCCTACGGAGTGGCTGGTGGGTTCAGACTGCCAACCTTTCAGTTAGCAGCTGAGCACTTAACCACTTTGCCACCAGGGCTCCCTTTACCTGCTTCCAAAGCCCATGCTATTCACTGGCGCATCCTAAAATGTTTGATTATTTTTTTTTACCATAGAAGGCAAATATGCTTCTTTAAAAATTCAGACGTCACAGAAATATGTAAAGTAAAATGTGCCAGGCCCCTTCTCCTCTCTCATGCTCTGATTCTGTTCCTTAGGGGTCACCCCAGGGTCACATCTGGGTGTGCATCTATTTAATGGGTAAGTTTTTAGAGGTCCTCAACTAACCTGGCTTCTAATAATATCCTCACTGGAGGATTCTGGGTTATTATAGGAGCGAGCCCTGGACTCCAGCTGCCTGGGTGGAAACCCTTGTTCTACCCACAACTTGGATGACTTTTTCCTGGGCCTCGGTCTCCTCGCTTGTACAATGAGGGTAACAATAGAACCTACCTCACAGGGTTATGGCTTAAGCCAGTTAATAGTTGTAAGGTGTGTGGAACAGTGCCTGGGACATAGTGGAATAAGTGTCACGTAAGCATGAAGTATTATGAATACATAATAACTGATGTACCTCACTTCCTTCCCACAAACCAAAACAACCCAGCAGAAGCCATACCCGCCCCCTGGCCTTGTTCTGCACAAGGAAGTTTCAGTGGGTTCTGCAGGTCACAGGTCAGGCCAGGTGGGACTTTCAGGGTTTCCGAAACTGAAAAAGGGCCCACAGACATCTGAAGTCTCTTCTCTCCCTCCCTGCTCATGAATGCTAATAGTCACTGCTCCTTAAATAGTAACCTGTGCCAAGTGCATGGGGTGTGTCTTAGTTACCTAGCACCTCTATAACAAAAGTACCACAAGGGTTGGCTTCAACAAACAGAAATTTATTTTCATAGTTCAGGAGGCTAGAAGTCCAAATTCAGGGTGCCAGCTCCAGGGGAAGACTTTCTCTCTCTGTGGGCTCTGGGGGAAGGTCCTTGTCTCTTTTTGAGCTTCTGCTCCTGGGCAATCTTCATTTGGCTTGGCATCTCTCTTCCCCCATCTCTGCCTTCTTCTCTGTACCTGTTTATTCTGTATCTCAAAGATGATTGGTATAAGACACACCCTACTCCATGGCCCCGTTAACATAACAAAGAAAACAGTAGTCCCAAATGGGATTACAGCCACAAAACCTGTTGCCATCATCGTGACCCTACAGGGCTGAGTAGAACTGCCCCATAGGGTTTCCAAGGAGAGGCTGGTGGATTCAAACTACCCACCTTTTGGTTAGCAGCCGAATGCTTAACCACTTCGCCACCAAGGCTCCTGCAACCACAAGTATAACCTAAAACGTGTTGCTCTCGAGAGTCGATTTCGACTCATGGTGACCCTATAGGACAGAGTAGAACTGCCCCATAGGGTTTCTAAGGCTGTAATCTTTACAGAGGAGCCCTGGTGGCGCAGTGGTTAAACTGCTTGCCTGCTAACCCAAAGATTAGTGGTTTGAACCCACCAGGTGCTCTGCGGGAGAAAGATGTGGCAGTCTGTTTCCGTAAAGATTGGAAACGCTATAGGGCAGTTCTGCCCTGTCCTACAGGGTTGCTATGAGTCGGAATCAACTCAACGGCAAGCAGTAATCTTTATGGACACAGACTGCTACATCTTTCTCCCGTGGAGTGGCTGGTGGGTTCGAACCACCGATCTTTCATTAGCAGCTGAGCATTTAACCACTGTGCTACCAGGGCTCCTTACCACAAGTATAGGGGTTAGGATTTACAAAACATGTTTTTAGGGGGGTGCAATTCACTCCATAACAGGGGTCATTTTAGAGACCTGCTTGCTTCCATTTATTTTCTCATTCATTCATTCATTCAGGCATCCAGTATGTGCCAGGCACTGTGCTTGGTGCTGGGACCCCGGGGCAAGTAAGACAAGGAGGATCACGGGCCTCGTGGAGCTTCTGTTCTAGTGAGAGTTGCCAGGAAGGAAATAAAACGGGGCGATGTAACAGTGCCTGGTGGGAGGGGGCACAGTCAGGGAACACCTCTCTCAGAAGGTGACTGATGAACTGAGGCTGAGAGGACACAGGAAAGGTAGATGTATGACCACCTGGGGGATGAGTATTCCCTGCTGAGGGAACAGCAGGTGCAAAGGCCTAGGGGCAGGGAAGAATATGGCATGTACTATTGTCAGTGTCCACATTTTATAGATGAGGAGACTGAGGCACAAAAAGGGTAAGTAACTGTCTTAGTTATCTAGTGCTGCTATAACAAAAATACCACAAGTGGGTGGCTTTAACAAACAGACATTTATTCTCTCACAGTTAGGAGGCTAGAAGTCTGAATTCACGGCACCGGCTCTAGGAGAAGGCTTTCTCTGTTTGCTCTGGGGGGAGGTCCTTGTCTCTTTTGAGCTTCTGCTTCTAGGCGATCTTCATGTGGCTTGGCATCTATCTTCTCCCATCTCTCCTTGCTGAATCTGCTCCTTTTATATCTCAAGAGAGGTTGATTTAAGACACACTCTACAAGAATACTGTCTAATTATCATAACAAAGAAAACTCATTCCCAAATGGGATTATAACCACAGGTATAAAAAAACCAAACCCGTTGCCATCCAGTCGATTCCGACTCATGCCGACCCTATAGGACAGAGTACAACTGACCCATAGGGTTTCCAAGGAGTGGTTGGTGGATTCGAACTTTTGACCTTTTGGTTAGCAGCCAGGCTCTTAGCCACTGCGCCACCAGAGCTCCAACCACAGGTATATATATTAAAACAAACAAACAAAAAAACCAAACCCGTTGCCATCAAGTCGATTCGAACTCATAGCGACCCTGTAGGACAGAGTAGAACTGCCCCATAGGGCTTCCAAGGGGCGGCTGGTGGATTTGAACTGCTGACCTTTTGGTTAGCAGCCAAATGCTTAACCACTGCACCACCAGGGCCCCAACCATGGGTAGGATTTACAACATATTTTTGGGGCATACAATTCAATTGATAACAGCAATTCACCTAAGACCACGCAGCTGTGTGCGGCGGAGCTGGGATTTGAACCAAGGGTTCAAAAAGCCCTGTTTCCAAACAGGGTCACGTTCAGAGGCCCAGGGGTTAGGGGGACCAGCTAGAAGTTCTGTTGGCTGCAGCTCGGGGTCAAGGGCCTGAGGGAGTAGGGATGAAGTTAGATCGGGGAAGGCCTTGAAGGCCGTGGGAAGGAGTTAGGATTTTTTTTTTAACAGACTTTATTTTTTAAAGCAGTTTTAGGTTTATAGAAAAAATTGTGCAGAAGTACAGAGAGTTCACATATACCTCCTTCCCCTGCACATTGTTTTGGAGTTAGGATTTTATTCTGGTTGCAGTGGGAAGAAGCTACCAGAGGATTTTAAGCTGGAGAGTGACATAGTCTGGTTTATGTTTCTAAAGATTCCATGTCGAATGATGCCTGTATGAGAGCAGGGGAATTGTCCCATTTTAGAGATGAGGAAACTGAGGCTTGGAGAATCTGAGTCTCTTGCTCCTGTAATCGCCCAAGGTCTCATAGAAGGGAAATCTTGGAGCCAAGATTCCAACCCTGGTCTACGTTTCAGAGTGGTGTAATTGCAAAGTCTTACAGGCACCGACACTGCACCCCTGGTTCGAATCCCATCTCTGCTGCTCACTAGCTGCGTGGTCTTGGGTGAGTTGTTTACCCTCTCGGTGCCTCAGTGTCCTCATCTGTAAAATGGGGATGGTGATAATAGTACCTCCCTGGCAGGGCTGTTGTGAGGATTAAATGAGTGAATACAGTTTGCTTTAATTACCCGTTGTGTTGAGTCGATTCTGACTTGTGGCGTGTGTATCAGAGTAGAACAGTACTCCATGGGGTTTTCAGTGGCTGATTTTTCAGAAGTAGATCGCCAGGCCTTTCTTCCAAGGAGCCTCTGGGTGGACTCGAAACCACCAACCTTTCGGTTAGCAGCCAAGCAATTGACCATTTACACCACCTGGGGACTTCCCTCAGTTACCTAGTTCTGCCGTGATAAAAATACCACAAGTGGATGGCTTTAAAGAACAAGAATTTATTGTCTCACAGTTTTGGAGGCTAGAAGTCTGAATCCAGGTCATCAGCAGGGCCATGCTCTTTCTGTCCGCTCTAGGGGAAGGTCCTTCCTGGTCTCACTCAGCTTCTAGTAGCTGCTGGCAGTCCTTGGCATTCCTGTGCTTGTAGGTACACCTCCATCCTCATGTGGTGTCTGTCTCACCCCTGTGTGTGTCTGTGTCTCTTCTGCTCTTTTTATAAGACACCACTCAGAAGGGATTAGGTTTGGGATCCACCCTACTCTGGTAAAGGAGCCCTGGCGGCACAATGGTTAAGCACTCACCTGCTGACGGAGAGGTTGACGGCTTGAACACACCTGGTAGCACCTGGTGGAAGAAAGACCTGGCGATCTGCTCCCATAAAGATTACAGCCAAGAAAACCCTGTGGGGTAGTTCTACTCTGTCACATGGGGTTGCTATGAGTCAAAATCTACTCGATAGCACCCAACAACAACTACTTTGTTATGTCCTCATTAACATAACTAAAGAAAAACCGTATTTCCGAACAGGGTCATGTTCACAGATAGGTTAGGGTTAGGACTTGACATATCTCTTTGGGGGGCAAGGAGCCCTGGTTGCACAGAGGTTAAGTGCTTGGCTGCTATGGCTGTTTGAATCCACCAGCTGCTCCACAGGAGAAAGGTGTGGCAGTTTGCTTCTTTAAAGACTACAGCCTTGGAAACCCTATGAGACAGTTCTACTGTGTCCTGTAGGATCACTATGAGTCGGAATCGAGTTGACAGCAATAGATTTTGGGGGGACGGAATCAAACCACAGCACACACATGGTGTGAGCAGAACAGTGTCTGGACACAGTAAGTGCTCAGCCTGTGTTAGCTGTACTGGGTGCTCTTTATATTTTTTATTTTTTAAAATTTTATTTATTTTTTTGTTGTTGAAAATATACCAGGGCTTCGACCTGGTTCGAAGATCCCCAGGCGATCCTTATGTATACATAAGAATCACCTGGAGATCTTATTAAAATTCTGATTCAGGATATCTGGGGTAGAAATGCAAATTCTCAGCAGCGGTTCAAACTGGAATGAACCTACTGGAAACCCTGGAATATACACAGCAGAGCATACACCAATTCAACAATTTTTACATGTATGATTCCGGGCGCACTTTCTGACTCCGGTGTCCGTGCCTGTAACCGATGTGCTGGCCCCTGCCTCCTCTCGCATCCTGCCCTCCTCCGCTCGGCGGCCCCTGAGCCCACTCCCTGCCTCCCTGCAGATCCTCTGGACCTTCTCCATCTATCTGGAGTCGGTGGCCATCCTCCCGCAGCTGTTCATGGTGAGCAAGACGGGCGAGGCGGAGACCATCACCAGCCACTACCTGTTTGCGCTGGGCGTCTACCGCACGCTCTATCTCTTCAACTGGATCTGGCGCTACCACTTTGAGGGCTTCTTCGACCTCATCGCCATCGTGGCAGGCCTGGTCCAGACGGTCCTCTACTGCGATTTCTTCTACCTCTACATCACCAAAGGTAGCTGGGGTGGAGGGCGGCCGGAAGGGGTTCCGCTCCCAGTGGTACTCGGGGAAGTGGGGGCTTCTGCTCCCAGCCTCTGGGCTCCGTCCTGCTGTCCCCTAGGAGTTCAGACCTCAGGCCCTGCCTCCCTCAGGGCTGAGAAGTATGTCTCCTTGGCCCCTGAGCTGCTCAAGAGAAGATCAGGCAGGGAGGGTCACCAGGGCTGGCTTCTGAAGAGTCCGTGCTTCCTCCTGCCTAGAGATTCAGGCTGCTGGCTCCGTCTTTAAGGAGTCCTGGTGGCACAGTGGTTAAAGCACTCAGCTGGTAACCGAAATATCGGCGGTTCGAACCTGCTAAACAGGAGAAAGATGTGGCAGCCTGCTTCCATAAAGATTACCCAAACCAAACCCACTGTCATCGAATTGATTCCGACTCATAGTGACCCTGTAGGACAGAGTAGAAGTACCCCATAGGGTTTCCAAGGCCGTAATCTTCATGGAAGCAGACTGCCACATCTTTCTACTGGAGCCGCTGGTGGTTTCCAGCCACCAGCCTTTCAGTTAGCAGTCGATTGCTTTACCCACTGAACCACCAGGGCTCCTTCCATAAAGATTACAGCCTTGGAAACCCTGTGGGGCAATAGAACTCTGTCTTACCACATTGCTGTGAGTCAAAATTGACTCAATGGCAATGGGTTGGGTTTTTTTTTGGTTCTGTCTTTGGAGCCTCTGGGTGGTGCAAACAGTTAAGCGCTCAACTGCTAGCTGAAAGGCAACACCCTTCAGAGACGGAAGCGCCTCGGGAGATAGGCCTGGCAATCTGCTTCTGAAAGGTCACAGCCAAGAAAACCCTGTGGAGCAGTTCAGCTCTGCACACATGGGGTCGCCACGAGTCGGAATCGACTTGAAGGCAACTGACAACAACAGCTGCGTCTTTACCATGTGGAGATACCAGGCATTCCTCTCCTCAGCTCCTGGGTGTGTGGAGAGGAGGAGCTGGTACTAGGGGTGAGCCAGGGGTGGCCTCTGACCATTCCTGTCTCAGAGTCTCTCCTAAGCACTCCTCCTCCTGCCCCAGGGATCCGGGCCCACAGCTTTTCTGTCTCATATCCATGAAAAATCCAGAAGTCCCATCCCCCCGCTCCAGCAATGCTCAGAGAAGGCAGGGCCTCCTTCTTCTCCGTCACTGGATCTCTATCCTGCCCTCAGGGACTGAGCCCTGTTCACTCATTCATTCATTTTGTTCAGCAAATGTTGAACTTTCTGGGTCCCTGGCCTGGTGCTAGGCTCTGGGATGCAGCAGCAGGAAAAAAGATGGACAAGGCCCTCTCCTTTCTTTCTATTCTAGCGGGGGAGATGGAATAGACAAGTAAGGAAGCATCATGTAGTATAGTATTTTAAAAATATTGGAAAATTAATAGATACTCAGGTTTGTCATGCATAAACTCATTTGGTTTATTGCAAAATAGTCATGGCAAGACACGCAAGTGAGACCTCATAAAATTCATTTAGAACCGGAGAGTCAGAATTAACAATAACAACTGCAATATTAGTTCAATGGTTGGAGCCCAAATCTTTGGACTTCAGGCTTTTACGTTTAATGAGAGGGCTCAGAAGGAAGATTTAACCACCGCTTGAACTTGGCAGACGTCCCTCATAGCTAGGGTCCAAGGTCGGCAGTGGCAGACAGAATCTCAGTTCCATCTCTGCCTTCTCTCAGTGAGTGAGCAGAAATTCAGGGTTTATATGTGAATTTGTCACCTTGGCTCTCCACACGACAAGGGCCAGTGTGACATCAAAGACTAGTATGTTATGTCTTTTCTCCAGAGTTAGAGAGTAGCCCAATGATGCATCTTCTCTTCAAGGTTAGAGATTAGGGAGGTTTTTAGATTTGTGTCATGTTTTCTTGTGTTACAGAATGCTGGGTCAAAGTGAACATAAAGGTTGTTTACATTCTTTACATACTTCACATGCTTCTATGTTTCTATGTCCAAGTTCAGAAATGTTCTAAATAACTTTCTTATGACTTAAGGTTTCTAATGACTTATAGTTAATGTTAGAGAGCCTCACAGAGGTCGACATATTTCTATTTCAAAGTTCATGTTATGAGTGATTATACATATGGATTTTGGAAGCATAATAGTGATGTATCTTATGGGATTTGAGAGTATTACAGAAACCTACAGAACACATCATTGCAGAGTGAGAGGAAATAAAGCGGAGATGTGATGAGGAATATCTGTGTGAGGGGCGGGGAGGTCTCTCTGAGGATGTATAAGCAGCACCCTGGAAACGAAGGCCTCAGCTTTGGGGAAGTAAGAGCCGATGTGAGGGCAAAGGCTAGGAGGCAGGCCCTACTCCCTCAGGACTTGGGCCTGGAGGGCGGGAAGGGATGGTCTCTCCCAGCCGGCCCTGCCAGACCCTCAGACCCCACGTTCCTCAGAGACCCAAGTACTCCCGCTGGGGTTCCATTGAAGGCAGAAGAAGAGTAGCCAGCACTAGGAGAAATGGGGCCTTCTCTTGGTCTCTGTTCTTCAGCTCCTAGGATGAGACCAGGGTCCCCCAGCCCCAACCCCACAGGAATTCAGGCAGATCCCCTTGGGTAGATGGTTTGTGCTCTGCTACTAACCGAAAGGTTGGTAGTTCAAACCTACCCAGTGGTGCTGTGGAAGAAAGGCCTGGCCATCAGCTTCTGTAAAGATTGTTATTGTTGGGTGCCATTGAGTCAATTTCAACTTATAGCGATCCCATGCAACACAGTAGAATTGCCCCACAGGGTTTTCTTGACTGTAATCTTTATATATATATGTATAATATATATATATGTGTGTATATATATATATATATAATTTTATTTATTTTGTTATTGTTGAGAATATATGCAGCAAAATATACACCAATTCAAGTTTCTACATGTTCCATTTGATGACATTGATTACATTCTTTGAGTTGTATAACCATTCTCTTACCCTCATTTTCTGAGCTGTTCTTCCCCATTAATGTAAACTCACTGCCCCCTAAGGTTCCTATCTAAACTTTCGACTTCCCGTTGTCAGTTTGATCCCATATAGCTAGTTCTTATAAGAACACAATGCTCAAGACACACATTTTTTAGTAGTTAAGCTAAACTATTGTTTGGTCTTAAAAAGACTTCAGGGAATGCTATTGGTTTAAGATTTAAAGATTATCTCAGAGCAATAGTTTTGGGGGGTTTATCCAACCTCCATGGCTCCTGAAAGTCTGGATTCCATGAGAATTTAAAATTATGTTCTGCATTTCCCCCCTTTTGATCAGGATTCTTCTATGGAATCTGATAAAAATGTTCAGTAATGGTACCCGGGCACCATCCAGTTCTGGTCTCATGGCAAAGGAGGCAATTAGTCACACATTCCATATCCTGCTCCTGTTCCTGACTCTCTTTCTTCCTCTGTTGTTCCAGGCGAATAGAGACAAATTGTTGTGCCTTGGATGGCCACTTGCAAGCTTTTAAGACCCCAGGCACTACATAATGAACTAGGAGGTAGAACAGACTAGGCTGTAATCTTTACAGGAGCAGATCGTCGGGTCTTTTCTCCCGTGAAGCTGCTGGTGGGTTCAAACCTCCAACCTTTCGTTTAGCAGCCCAGCATTTAATTATCGTGCCACCAGGCCTCCTTTCTGTGAGATTACAGCCTATGGAGTTCAGTTCTACTCTGTGACACGTGGGGTTGCCATGAGGGCAGTGGGTTTTGGTTTGTTTTTATTTTCCCCCTAGTTTATAATGTGGAGGATACTGGGGCCACCCCTTCTCGCATTTCCCTGCCCAGCCCAGTGTGCAGGCCCTCGTCTGGGTATGCGAGCCCACCCCACCCTGCCCACTGCAGGGCCCTGTGGTAATGCTCACTTCCTTTTCTCTTCTCAGTCCTAAAGGGGAAGAAGTTGAGTTTGCCAGCATAGCCCTGGCCTTCGCGACCCCTCTTCTTGGCAGCAGCGGCGGCAAGAGGCGCAGGAAGGTGATGGGAGACTCGGAGCCTCCTGCCCACCCAGGGGTGACTTTTTAAAGAACCAATCTCTCCTCGTTCCCCATCCCCCTCCTGCCAGGTTTCGGGGGGCATTGAAGGACCCAAGTCTTGGAGAAGCTCAGGACCTGGGCTGTTTGTAATTCTTTGCCTTTTAGAGAAAAAAAAAAAATCTTTTCACTATTTAGTTTTTGATTCTGATGACTCCTCTCTCTTCTACTCTCTGGCCCCCTGATTTTTATAAACAGTATCCGATGGGACGGGGCAGGGGCAGGGGTCTTCTTCCCTCACCCAGACCCTTCAACTCCCTTTCAGACTCCCTCCCCGAGCCCACTGGGTGCCAAACACTAAATCTGCTGACACCCCGCCCAGCCTCCCCCGACATGAACACAGCCTCCCACTGCCCTTCTGGGTTGGGGACAGGGAGGAGGGAAGGCCTGGGAAGGGCTCCCCTGCTTTTTCATAGTAATTTTTTCCAGAGTTTGGGTTTTTTGGTCTTGTCCTGATTTTTTGGCATATTGGGGGGAGGGGGCTGGCCCAAGATCACCACTGCCCTGATACCATGTTTTTGTACAGAATTGATGGTTGATTCTTTGTTCTCTTGAAATAAACAGAGGAAAATAATACCTCTCTCTTTCACTACTCCTTGTTCTATCTTTTGGTGTTTGGAGGGTATTACGGGTTGAATTGTGTCCCCTTAAAATATGTGTTGTGAATCCTAACCTCTGTGCCTGTGGTTATAATCCCATTTGGGAATGGGTTGTCTTTGTTATGTTAATGAGGCAAGATTAGTGTAGGTTATGTCTTGAATCAATTTTTAACAAGATATAAAAGGAGCAGATTAAGCAAGCAGAGATGGGGGAAGATAGATGCCAAGCTACATGGAGATCTCCAAGGAACCAGGAAACAGAAGCTGAAGAGACGAGGACCGTCCCCCAGAGCTGACAGATACAGAAAGCCTTCCCCTAGAGCTGGTGCCCTGAATTTGGACTTCTAGCCTCCTAAACTGTGAGAAAATAAATTTCTGTTTGTTTAAGCCATCCCTTATGATATTTCTGTTATAGCAGCGCTAGATAACTAAGACAGGGGGGTTCTTCCTGGCCCCCCTCTCTACCTCAGCTTTTGCCGCATTGACCATCCACAGGCAAGCAGAGGTTGGGGAGGAGCAGGAAGGTGAGAGTCTGGGTTCCCCAAGATGCTCAGTTGCAGCCTGGCTCCTCACAGCTCCACTGGGAAAGAGGCTTTGGAGAAAGCCTAAGAGTCTGCTTATCCTGGTTCAGAACTTCCCAGATTCCCAAGGTTGTGAAGGACCTTCAAGAGCATTCATGTCAGGGCTTGCAAACTGGCAGCCCTGCCCCACCCTCCTTTTTTTTGGCTTGTTGTTGCATTTTGTTGAGCCCCACACGGTGTTTTTGTTACAGAAAATGGAATTGGTTGCCAACCTTAAAAAAACAGATTTTCACATTAGAATCTGGGTTTCTGGCTGCTCTTGAAAATCAGTTAAGTCTGACAGTGCTGGGTCCTCATTTCTGGGTGGCATCAGATGGCTGGAGCTGAATAGATGGGACGTGCGCTTTTCACCAGAGTCCCCAGGACTTGGCTAAGTGGTTGTTCCCATTTGTTATGGGGCTGGCACTGTTGTTTTCTGGGTTTTTCTTTTTTTTTTCGGTAGAGTTGCAAGTGAAATATTTCCATGTCTCTCTCTAGATTTGCTTCACGCCTGGCCTATTTCCTTCACTTGTGTTAACTTTGCTTTGGCAAAGTCTTGGATTTTTGACCCCTGATAATGGTCAAACTTCCTAGGTGTCCCCTGAGGTATTCCTGACCTCTGCGTAGCGGCCTCCAGTTCTCCCGTAGGGCAGCTCTGTTCACCAGGCAGGTCTAGCCGCCATCAAGTCGATCCTGACTCATCCGTGCCCCCCATGTGTATCAGAGTAGAACTATGCATAGAACTATGCTCCATAGGGTTTTCAGTGGCTGATTTTTCAGAAGTAGATCGCCAGACTTTTCTTCTGAGGAGCCTCTGGGTGAACTTGAACCTCCAACCTTTCAGTTACAGCAGAGTGCATTAACTGTTTGCACCACCTAGAGGCTCATTCAGGAGGTAGGTAGCTGAAGTTTACTGAGCACTTAATATGTGCCACAGAGGCATTAGTGGCTCAGTGGTCGAAATCTTACCTTCCGTACAGGAGACCTGGGTTCAGTGCACCTCATGCACAGCCACAACCCATCTGTCATTGGAGGCTTGTGTGTTGCTATGATGCTGAACAGGTTTCAGTGGAGCTTCTGGACTAAGACGACTAGGAAGAAAGGCTTGGCGATCTACTGCTGAAAGTCAGCCAATGAAAACCCTACGCATCACTACGGTCCAGTCTGCAACCGGTCATGGTGATGGTGCAGGACTGGGCAGCGTTCCATTCCCTTGTGCGTATGGTTGCTCTGAGTCAGGGGCTGCCTCCGTGTCAGCCAACAACTGTGTGCCAGCCAGGTGCTGAGCTTACATGGCTAAGCTCATTCAGCCCTCCCAGCACCCCTAAAGAGGAGTTTTTTGCAGATGAGGAAACAGGATTAGCGGTGTGAGTGGCAGAGGTAGGATTTGCATCTGGGGCTTCTGGACTCCAGAGCCTCTGTGATTAACCACTGCTGTGTGGTTTCTTGAATGTTTTTCTTGCTTGCTTTCTTTCAAGCCAAGGGACCTTCTGTTCAGAGGAATTTTGCCCGGAAGCCTGATGTGGGAAACGCCGAAGCAGGGTTGCTTGGATTGGCTGTGGGGTGGGGAGCGGGCGCTCTGCCTGCTTCAGCCCTGGGCACCTCTTTGAACGCAGTCTGAACAAAACCTGGTCTGATTCTTTCCTTTAACAGCCCACACAGCTCAGGCCCAGAGAAATTGACATGTTGTTATGGACTGAATTGTGTTCCCCTCAAAAGATGTGTGGGAATCCTAACCCCTATACCCATGGATGTGATCCTGTCTGGAAATAAGGTTTTCTTTGGTTAATGAGGCCATATCAGTGCAGGATATGTCTTACAGCTCACCACTTTTGAGATATAAAAAAAGCAGATTAGACAGAGAGGAGCAAGCACAAATGCGGAAGGATAGATGCCATGTGGAGATCTCCAGGGAACGCTAGAGAAGCTGAGACAAGGATTTCCTTCAGAGCGAACAGAAGGAGCCTCCCCCTAGAGACAGCACCCTGAATTCAGACTTCTATCCTCCTGAACTGTGAGAAAATAAATTTCTGCTCATTAAACCCACCCACTTGTGGTATTTCTGTTATAGCAGCTCTAGCAAACCAAGACGTCCCTGCGTGATGCAAATAGTTTGCCACTGGCTGCTGAACAATAGGCTGGTGGTTTGAATCCACTCAGTGGCACTGTGGAAGAAAGGGCTGGTGATCTGCTTCTGTAAAGATTACAGCCAAAAAATCTTATGGAGCAATTCTGCTCTGTAACGCATGGGGTTGCCATGAGTTGAAGTAATCTAGATGGCAACAGGTTTTTTGGTAGCAAACTAAGACACATGTCCAAGGTTACCCAGCGGGTGACAGCGTGGGGACTGGCACTCAGGATCCTCCTGCTCCCATGGGGCCCACATCTTAGTTATTTCTGCACCTCCAGGACTGAGCACAGGGCCTGCCACACAGGAATCTTAGAAAAGGGGTCATAGAGCCCAAGTCTGATTCCCTATAACTCGTATCCCTTTGTCCCGCTTGTAAACTAAGGGTGTGCAGACCTTCATGTGGGTGTGGCTTGTTTGGTCCCTACGACATTTAATTGTTTTTTTTGTATTAGTTGTAATTGATCAATTGATTTCATATAAAAAAACACGTGGGGGGACCTCATACCATCAAGAAAGCAGTGCCAGGAGCAGAGCACGTCCTTTGGACTGGGGTCCCTGTGCCAAGAAGCTCCTAGTCTGGGGGAAGATTGATGAGAAGGCCGACAGCGAGAAAAAGCCTACCCCTGGAGCTGACACCCTGAATTTGGACTTCTAGCCTACTTTGACTGTGAGGAAATAAACTTGTCTTCGTTAAAACCATCCACTTGTGGTATTTCTGTTATGGCAGCGCTAGATAGTTAAGACAGAATTTGGTACTGAGAGAGTGGGGTGCTGCTCTAAGAGATACCTAAAATGTGGAAGCGGTTTTAAAACTGTGAATGGATAGACGTGTGGCAGTGACAGGACCAGCAGCAGCAGAGAACCAACAGCAGCAGAACCAGGAGACCGGTGAAAGATGGCGCTGGAGCCGACCCACGGAGCGAGAGAGCTGAGTGCCTGTGAGCAGGAGGCTTCTGGTGGAGTGGGGTGCCTCTGGGCACTTACCAGTGGAGCTAGGCTTGCCGACCCACGGAGTGAGGGAGCTGAGTGCCTGTGTTCACAAGGCTTCCTGGTGGAGTGGGGTGCCTCCGGGCACTTACCGGTGGAGCTACTGAGCTTTGGAACACTTGCCCCAGCAGGGCAGATGCAGGCGTGAGGCCCGAGGGCCAAGAGGCCATAGGAAGCAGAAGCTGAAGAGACAAGGGACACAAGAAGCCCACCTGCTTCAGCCTCAAAAGGTATGGCCATGACCTCACGGGTTTCAAAGGGTGGAGCCATGGCCTCTGGTGCTTCTAAGAGTAGAGTCGCCACTCAGATGGACTGGGAGAATGGTGTACCTAAAGCCAAAGGAGCAGAGTTGCTGTCCCAGTGGGCCTGGAAGGCAGAGCTGAAGCCCAGGGCTGAGGGGCCTCCACTCAAAATCCAGAGACTGTGGCCACTACCTAGAGTCTGGAGGGCAGGGCCATTGTGTAAATTGTCTCGGAGGACAGAAGATTATTTTCAAAGCCTTGAGGGCTAATGTAATGTGTTCTGCTGACTTGCTTGGTGCCTGTTATCCTTCTTTCCCTGCAATTTCTCCCATTTGTAATGGAAATG